GGGTACCTTGAGGACTTCTCCGGGCACGGGCGGCGGGGTCTGGAAGTGGACGGGGGTGTTGATGGCGGGGCTGGAGGCCGCRGGCATGCGCTGCTGCTGCATGTAGTTCATCATCATCTGCTGCTGCACCCGCTCGCGCTCCGCTTCCTGCTGCGCCTGCTGCTTCATCAGCTCCATCCGCAGCCCGATGCGCGACGCCATGGCTGGGCACGGGGCAGGGGCGYGGGAGCCCGCCTGGCACCGAGGTCACCCTGCGAGGGGGACATGGCATGTCAGCGACAGCGGGGAAACTGAGGCACGGAGAGGCATCCCGGCCCCGCATCCCGGAATGCTCGCARCGGTTTGTGATTAATCCAGGAGGATCATCCCCATGCTGGCTCTGCCCTCCTGGCACCGGGTGCCCCCACCCCGCCTGCCTCCTTACAGAAAGAAATGGGAAAAAAAGTCAAAAGCACCCCCGGGAAGCTCCAGAAAAACGGTGCTGTCAAGGGTGAGGATGGGGAAGGGTGGCCAGAGCTGGGGTTGATAAGGAGAGAGGGGAAATTAGGGTTTGGCAGGAAGGGTCAGTCAGGAACCCCCGACGGGGCAGCCGGGACTCTGCACCAAACACTCACGTTCCGCCGGAGCCGCTTCCCGAACACCGCAGCAAAGCCGGAGCGAGCCCGGCAGCGAAAGGGAAAGAGAAAGCGAGGGAAGAGAAGAGCAGGAAGAAAAGGCCGGCGGGTGCCAGGAGCCGGGGGCAGCTCGAACCCCCCGGGCCGGCCGTGGCCGAGCTCGGCTCCGGCGCGGGGCGAACAAGGCGGGCTCTGTGCGGGGCCGGCACGCGAGCGTGGGGACGGGGGGGACCGCAGGGGCCCCCGCCCGGCACAGACCGGCCCTTGTTCCCCCGGACAAAGGGGACGGCGGCCCGCGGAGGGCGGAGGATGCCGAGACACGGGGAGCAGCCGCACCCACGGCTTTCCACGGCCGGGATGCGGGAGGTGCCGGAGGGGATGCGGGGCCGGAGCGCGGCATCCCCGGGAAAAGGAGCGGGGACAGGCAGGAGCCAAGCGCGAGGAGGGGAAAGAAAACCAGACAAATCGGGGKGGTTTTGGTGTTTAAATGCGAGGCGGGATCAGAGGAGGACGGTGACAGCCACCCGGAGCCGGCGCCACGCGCTGCCCGGAGGGGAAATTCAATCAAGGCAGCACGGGCGGGCAGCGCGATTACACAGCTCGGGAGCGGCTATTGATCGAGCGGCGAGGGGAAGGGAATTAATTAGCCATGGTGGCCTGGCCGAAGGGGGATGGGAGCCCCGAGCCCGGGCCAGCGATCCGCTGGGGTTAAAGGGGGTGTGTGAACAGCTTCAGAGGAGGGCACGGGGTGGGTGTTGGAGTAGAACCCCATAAAAAACCCCACAGAGGATGGAACGAGGCTGAGTTAGAAGGAAAACCCACAACTGATGCACAACCCCAAAGGCGAAGGGAAGGGTGAGAGGCTTTTCTGAGGAACGCAAGAGGGTGTCACAGAAGGGTGCTGAGGCACAGG